AGCTAGATCTGGGGCTCCTGGTTCGTTTCTCTGGCACAGCCCAGAAGTTCGCGGTGCGACTCTCGTGCTCGTGTTCAGCTCCGAGCTGTCAGAAGCCATGCACGGTTGTGGCCACCGCTGCCAAGTGCCCTAGTGGACGCTGCCTTCTACTTCTCTCTCTCTCTCTTTTTTTTTTTTTTTGCTTTTTGGGTCACACCTGGTGATGCACAGGGGTTCCTCCTGGCTCTTCACTCAGGAATTACTCCTGGCGGTGCTCAGGGAACCATATGGGATGCGGGGAATTGAACCCGGGCTGGCCACTTGCAGGGCAAACACCTTACCCACTGTACTGTAGCTCCAGCCCCTCTACTTCTCTCTTGAGTCCTGTCTTGAAACCAGCAACCCCAGCAAAGCCCAGTAGACCCAGCAGAAACGCCCGTCTGATTAAGTCTGAAGATAAAGCATCTCCTGACTTCTTTATTTTAATGGATTTCTCTAACCTATAGTCAGGCCATGATGGCTGGAGGTTCTTTTGTTTCCTATCAGAGACCTCTAAACGATTCTTCCAGGGGTCTCTTAACCCCCTCCCTTCCTGATTGTAGCTATGATGATGGTGAGGAAGATGATGGTGTTCCTTTTCCCAAAGGGGTTTATGTGGGAATCTTTCAAAAGCATCATTTTAAAGTAAAAAAAGAAAAATTTAAAAAATTGCTTCCAATTGATAGTTACTCAGAGCTTCTGATCCACTTGTAATAATCACGAGTGTTCCCCCCGGATCTGTCATTATTTCTGCAAAATAGCATGATCTAGGCTTATTGCCTTGCAGGTAATAATCATCATCATTTTTATGTAATATTTAGCGTGTCCCAAACTTTAAGGGCTCTGTGAGAATTAATTCATCAAATCCTCCTTCACAGCCCTATGAAATAACTAATATTGATTGTCTCACGTACATTGACAGAAGGCACGGGAACGACGCTTAACAGTCACCGGCTTAGGATGGGAGCTTCTCTTCTTTCTTTCTCATGGGGAAGTAACTCAGGGTCTATGTGCCAACATAAAAATGTGCAGAATGGGGGTCAGAGCATGCAGCGGGTAAGGCACTTGCCTTGTATGTTACCCACCTAGGTTTGATTCCCGTATGATCCCTCATGCCCCACCAGTGGTGATCCCTGAGTACAGAGCCAGGAGTAAACCCTGAGCACTGTCCAGTGTGCCCTGAAAACAAAGGAAAATAATTCTTTAAATGCATAGGACACTTCAGGGGCCATCTACTCTGGACCACTCCACATTTTCCTTGTCCTTCTCTCCTTAAAGATGTGATAGGCTGGGACCAGAGCAATAGTACAGCAGATAAGGCATTTGCCTTGCACACAGCTGACCCGCGTTCAATCCCCAGCATCCCATATGGTTCCCCACGTGCCACCAGGAATAACTCCTGAGTGCAGCGCCAGGAGTAAACCCTGTGCATTGCTGGGTGTGACTTAAAAAAGAAAGAAAAAAAAAGATGTGATAGGCTGGGGCCAGAGAAATAGTACAGCAGGTAGGGTGTTTGCCTTGCACTCAGCTGATCCGGGTTCAATCCTCGGCATCCCATAGGGTCCACCATGCACCGCCAGGACTAATCACTGAGTGCAGAGCCAGGAGTAAACCCTGAGCATTGCTGGGTATGACCCAAAAAGCAAAATATAAAAAATAAAAATTAAAAATACATCATAGGATAGGAGATTTCAAGCTTCCTTGGGGCTCCCTCCCCTGGTTTTCTGGAGGGCGAGAGCTTCTTCCAAAGGTCCAAACCACTGTTTAATCTACTTTTTAAGTGATGTTGACTTAAAAAAAACTATGGCTAAGCTAATTTTTTTTAATTTGGGGGCTCAACCAATAGTATAGCAGACATTGTATTTGCCTTGCATGTGACCACACTTGGTTCGATCTGCAGCATCCCATATGGGCCCCAGAGCACTGCCAGGAGTGACTCCTGAGCCCAGAGCCAGGAGTAACTGCATCATCGACTGTGACCCAAAAACCAAATCAAACAAAATGATCACCTCTTTAAAATACAGGGAGCGGTGGGGAGTCACTTGGAGTCACTCTGCTCTTCGTCAGTTATTTAGGCCAGGGAAACTTTCAACAAATCTGACAGGGCACCTCAGCCTGTTGCAGGTGAGAAATCAGAGAAAGCTTCACATTGTCTTGTCTCGAGAGAGTTGGTGGTGAGGGACCGAGCCAGGCCCCTGGGCCCGATAGCTTCACAAGCCTTCCCTGACAGTCTAAGTCACTTCAGCAGTCTTCACTGCCCAGGCCTCTTGTAAAGGGTGCTTGGCAGATGCAGAAGGAAATGTTGAGCCGTGCCCACCCTAGCAGAGTGATGCCCTGTGGACCATGGTGACAGGCCCCGGAGCACATAAGACCTGACCTTACAGAGTGGCCCTAAAGCAAGACCCTGCAGAAGGGAGGATCTGGGCAAAGTTGGCAAGAACAGACTGCCAGCACCGGGTGTCTGGCCTTGAGCCTCACTCGACCTCCTAGTCACGTGCACCCAAGACACAGAAACTGTCACGTACGCTTAGGTGCTTAGCAGGTCATCCTAACTGCAGCATCTAGCCTTGATTGGGATTGGACCGGGGTAAAGCAGAATTGGAGAGGTCAGTAATGCTAAACTTTATGTGATTGCACCTTCTGTAAGCCGAGACCCTCTATAAAATATGTGTGTGATTGGCAATAAAGTGAACAGTCATCAGCTGCTCCTGGAGGGTGTTTCTCTGCACGCCCGTCAGCCTTCGCCCCGAGTCTGCCCGGACCCAGTAGCACAATGTCCATGCACATTGGGGGGAAAATTGTTCCCCAACAATGTTCCAGGCTCACTTGCCTTCCTGTGCTATCTCTAGACCTGTTGGCCCACCAAAAGGATCAATGATGGTGCGTGTGTGTGTGTGTGTGTGTGTGTGTGTGTGTGTGTGTGTGGCGGGAGGGGGTGTACACGCCAAACCCCAGATGCCTTCTTGATTGTGTTCTGCATTTGCTCTTCAGTTGCTTAATTAGTTCTTGGAAAGAGAGGACATGGGTTACTATTCTGAGTGACCCTATGCACAGTTCACAACCCTTTTTTTTAAATAAATTTTTATTAGCGAAACACCATGAGGTATAGTTGTAGACTTACAAATTTTGGTGCTTGGGTTTCAGTTAAACAATGATCGAGTACCCATCCCTCCACCAGTACCCATTCTCCACCACCACTGATCCCAGTATCCCTCTCACAAGTCACAACTCTTTTCAAGGCATCATAGATGCACCTTCCTTAAAACTAGACTCCAGCTGGAGAACCATCTAGGTTGGCTGGGTGAGTTTGGCGTGTGGTCTCAAAAGCAGTGAAACCCTCCTCCTTTCCCTCCCTTCTGTGTTACCCCACACACACACCAGGTACCCCCATCCCAGGAGACCCCAGCAGTTTCACTGTTGTTTTGAAATCCACTCTTTAAAATCAGTATTTAGCAGGGGGAGGTGTGTCTCCAAATAATACAACCCTGGACTGGAGCAGTGGAACAGCAGGTAGGGCATTCGCCTTGCACGCAGCTGACCCAGGTTCGATTCTCAGCATCCCATATGGTCCCCTGAGTACTGCCAGGAGTAATTCCTGAGTGCAGAGCCAGAAGTAACCCTTGTGCATTGCTGGGTGTGACCCAAAAAGGAAAAAAAATTAAATTAAATAAATAATAATGTAATTCTGACTGGAGCAAATAACGTTTTCAGTAGAAGGGGTTTCAGATACTGTGACGAGAATGGGGTAGCAGCACTGATGCTTTTATGAGACAGGGGTAACTTCTGTGAGGTTAAGAAACCCACCCCCCTCAGTCTCTGGGAAAGGGGGGGATGTCGTTCTCAATATTTGGTGTGCCAGACCGCAAGCTCCCACTTTCTACTCAGTTTATTTACTTTGGACTGATTTTTGTTCACTGTGGCTTTTTATTTTAATTTATGAAAATGTCAGAGCACATTGGACTTGTTTGTGGCTTGGAAAGAATAATTAAAGGCTGCAAGAATTAAATGTGGTGCCAAATTAATATCACTCTCCCCTTCCCTGCTGATCGTTTTATATCCGAGTCACATTTCAAGCTGGCTGGAAGCTTTGCCGTGTGCTTCTCAGACCCAGACTCTTATTATATTTGATCAGCAAAGAGCACAGTCGCCGAAGTTTTCTGGAGTCTCGTGCCAAGGGTTCAGACACGCAGGAGACGGAGGGTGTAATGGGATCACGGCTTTGTTATGTAGAACTGTCATGTTGGAAGCATGACTGAAAGGGAATTGTATCTTGAGTTTCATCTTCATTTAAAAATAAAAAACTTGGGGCCGGAGCGATAGTACAGCAGAGAGGGCATTTGCCTTGCACCCAACTGACCCGAGTTCAATCCCCGGCATCCCATAGGGTCCCCCAAGCACCACCAGGAGTGATTTCTAAGTGCAGAGCCAGAAGTAACCCCTGAGCATCACTGAGAGTGACCCAAAAGCAAAAATAAATAAATAAATGAAATCAAATAAATAGAAACTGGTGTGGAGGGGCTGGAGCAATAGTACAGCAGGTAGAGCTTTTGCCTTACATGTGCTAGTCTGAGTTTGATCCCCAGCAGCCCATAGAGTCCTCCCCCCCCCCAAGCTAGCCAGGAATGATTCCTGAGTGCAGAACCAGGAGTCAGCCCTGAGTACCTCCAGATATGGCCCCCAAACAAACCATCTAAAAACTGTGATGTTGGGGCTGGAGTGATATAGCACAGGGGGTAAGGCGTTTGCCTTGCACACGGCTGACCCGGGTTCGATTCCCAGCATCCCATAGGGTCCCCCGAGCACCGCCAAGAGTAATTCCTGAGTGCATGAGCCAGGAGTAAACCCTGTACATCGCTAGGTGTGACCCAAAAATCAAAAAAATAAATAAAAATAAAAACTGTGACGTGCAATGGGACAGAAACGGAGTGTCAGGCTGTGTGCACACCCCTTGCCCTGACCTGCTGCCCATCCCTGTTTTCCAGTGCCCTGGTTGCTGAGGAACAGCAGCATAGATAGCGGCGAGGCGGAAGTTGGCCGGAGAGTCACCCAGGAAGTGCCCCCAGGTGTATTCTGGAGGTCCCAGATCCACATCAGCCAGCCCCAGTTCTTAAAGTTCAACGTCTCCCTCGGGAAGGATGCGCTCTTCGGGGTCTACATCCGGCGGGGACTGCCACCCTCACACGCCCAGGTAAGGCCCGTGCAGGGCACTGGTGGCTGGTGGGCTGTTTGGAGTTCCACTCGCACACTTCCGTGCCCCCGGGGGCAAGCCTTGAAAGCAGGGGGTTGGGGGGTGGGGGAAAATCCCTGCTTTCTTGGCTTCTTGCTTTATAGCCCCTGGCCAGTCGGGCTATAAATATTATGCAACTGCTGTAGAACAAGAGCTTGATGAGTCTTCAGAATTTTCACCAAAGGGGCCAGAGAGGAAGCACAGTGGGTAGGGCGCTTGCTTTGCACGCAGCCAACCTGGGTTCATTCCCTAACAACACATAGGGTCTCCCAAGCACCACTGAGGTGTGATCCTGAGAACGGAGCCAGGACTAAGTTCCTGAGCACCAGCTGGGTGTGGTCCTGAATTTTAGCAACTATGTGGACCCTTGGAACCCAGCGATTCCATTCCTCGGTAAAGAGCACAGAGAATGGATGTTTTTATTACTTATCAAAGCCCATGACACTGATATTCCTATAGCAGCTTTGTTTAGAATCCATAAGTGGGCATCAGCTGGTGAGTGGGAAAATGAGAAGGGAAGGCTAGAGTACTGGGAGCACTGAGTATGACTTCCTGAGCACTATCAGGAGTGAGCCCCGAGCAGTAACCTGGGAGTACCACCGGGCGTGGCCAAAAACTAAAAACAAAAAACAGAAACAAAACAAAACAAAACCCCAACCATCAAGAAAAGAAAGCCTCAGGGCTGGAGTAATAGTACAGTAGGTAGGGCATTTGCCTTGCCTGCAGCCAACCTGTGCTCGATTCCCAGCATCCCAGCATCACAATCACAATCATCCTGTTGTTCGTCGATTGCCTCAAGCAGGCCCCAGTAATGTCTCCTTCGTCCTAGCCCTGAGATTTTAAAAAGTGCCATATTCAAGGCTCTTTCAGGCTTAGGAGAATGAGACCCATCATTGTTACTGGTATTTGGCATATTGGGTACGCCACGGGGAGTTTGCCAGACTCTGCCGTGTGAGCAGGTTACATTCGATAGCCTGCCAGTTTGTCCAAAGTAGGAATGAGATAATAAGATGTCACGCGTGCATGGCCGCAAATGTGGCTGTGCACTTCTGGAAGCTGGGTTTTATAGTCCCTGGGTCTTGGCCATTGATGGGATTACACAGCGCTGGGGGTCAGATGGTGGGTGTGACCCACCATCACTATGAGTAATTCCTGAGTGCAAAGCCAGGCCCTGAGCATTGCCGGGTGTGACCTAAAAAGCAAGAAAAGAAAAGAAAAGAAAAGAAAAGAAAAGAAAAGAAAAGAAAAGAAAAGGAAGCCTCGTGTTGTTATACATTACCCCATGTGGAGCCCTGTATGCTAAAAAAGACAAGCAGATACAAAGGCTGTGTATTAAATGATGCCATTTATAGTGCCAACAATAGACAGGGGCAGAAAGTAGCTGAGGGGGAGCCTAGGCTGAGCCAGAGGAAGCCCCCCCACCCCCCACCGGTGGCTAAGGGGCTGGGGGTGTGATGTAAATGCTTTGAGATTAGCCATCATGGTTGTGCCATGCAGTAAAATAGACCACAAACCGGGAAGGTGCGAATTGGTAGCACTGATGGTATGTGAGTCCTAGGGGGAAGGGAAAAATGAAAAAAAAAAAGTGAGGGATGGTGGAGGAGAGCAGAGTCCCGTCTACTTGGGCCAATCTTGCCAGATCTAAAGGCTAGTCCTTAGACTCCATTTAGGTGCTCTGGTTATCCGGTTAGTTTGTTGAAATATCATCAGGAGATATCCCAATGTGTCTGAAGAGGTACATGGGGCCAGAGCAAGAGTACAGCAACTGGGGAGGGTGTTTGCCTTGCATGCAGCCCACCTAGGTTCAATCCCCGACACCCCAGAGGGTCCCCCAAACACTTACAGGATAATTCCCGAGTTCAGAGCCAGGAGTCACCCCTGAACATTGCTATATGTGACCTTCCCCTCCAAAAAAAAAAGAGGTGGATGTCCCAGCAGTCATTTCTCCTGTACATCCTGCAACTGTGATCCTTGGAAAGTCCTTGGCACTGTGAAAACGAGACAATCCCCAGTGTTTGGATTGGAGAGGTGGCATGACATGGCAGGGCTCTTTGTTTTTTTCTCTTGTACCCCCTTCTTTCCACTCATCCTGGGAGAGATTTCATTAAAAACCTACCAACTTGGGAGAAGTTAGACACAGACACACACAGACACACAGACACACAGACACACACCACACACACACACACACACACACACACACACACCATCCTCCTCAGTCTGGTTTTGTTTTCCAATAAGAAGATCTGCAAGGGGAAACCTGAGCAGGGTTCTTCTTGCCTCATTGGCTTCCAAATCCAGCAAGAACATCAAAGCAGTGCTACAGGAGAACACACCAAGTGGCGGGAAAGTAGCCTCCGTCACCCGTTATAGCCCCCTCGAAGCTGATTTTAAAAGGTGCTGGAAAGCTGTTCATCTAGAACATTCGCTGGGAAGGATGTAAAGCTGCACACCCATGGGTGAGGGTGGAGCTACACAGCTCACCAGGTCTTGGTCTGCAGCACGTGCAGACATTGCGAATCAATGACCGTGTTCCTTCTTCCCTGAGCTCCGAGCATCCATGCTCCCAACAGACTCTCTCGGCAGACAGCTGTGGCTAGTTGACTGGTGTTGGCCCTCAAAAAAAAAGATTCTTGGCCAGTTCCTCCTTCCAGCCTGAAAAGATGGTTCTAGGAGAGACTCTTAGAGAATCCTTTCTCTTTTGAGCCAGGACTGTGTAACATTTTACTGCCCAATACAGTTGCATGCAAAGTGGTCTCCATCTATCCATGGGGTGGGGGGGGGGGGGAATATTGGCTCCTTCCATTGTTCATCGATTTGCTCGAGCGGGCCCAGTAACGTCTCCATTGGAGACTTTGTTGTTACTGTGTTTGGCATATCAAATACATCACGAATAGCTTGCCAGGCTTTGCCGTGCGGGCGAGATACTCTCGGTAGCTTGCCGGGCTCTCTGAGAGGGGCGGAAGAATCGAATTCGGGTTGGCCACGTGGGCCGTGAGCAAGGCAAACACCCTACCCGCTCTGCTGTTGCTCCAGCCCCTGACCAAGCAGAAATCAGATCTGTTCTTCCAAAAGATTTTCATCCCACAGTCTGGAGTAACAGCAGGTGGTACACATGCCTTGCACGCCACCAACCTGGGTTCAATCCCCAGCACCCCATAGGGAGGGATCAAGCCTCCCCCTTCCAGTAAGTGATCCTTAAGCGCAGAGCCAGGAGGAAGTACCAAGCACCACAGGGTTCAACCCCAAAACAAATCTAATTTTTTAAAAAAATTTGATTACATCACTGTGAATAGACCTTACAAAGCTGTTCATGGTGAGGTTTCAGTCATACAGGATTCCAACACCCAACCCTCCACCAGTGTACATTTCCCAGAACCAGTGTCCCCAAGTTACCTCCCATCATCCCCCTCCCTTTCCTTCACCCTTCCTCTTCATCTCTCTCCTCCTTTGGGGCATTGTGGTTTACAACCCAGATACTAAAAGGTTGTCGTGTATATCCCGATACCTACTTTTAACACTCAGTTCTCGTCCAGCGTGATCATTTCCAACTATTATTGTCATAGTGGTCCCTTCCTTCTCTATCTTACCTACTCTCCGCCCCACACTTGTGGTAGATTCCAACCATTGACCAGTCCTCCTAGCCCTTGTTTTCTCTATCCCTTGGATATTAGTCTTATGGCAGACCTGAGTTCGATTCCTCTGCCCGTCTCGGAGAGCCCGGCAAGCTACCAAAAGTATCTCACCCACACAGCAAAGCCTGGCAAGCTTCCCATGATGTACTCGATATGCCAAACACAGTAACAAGTCTCATAATGTTACTGGGCCCACTCAAGCAAATCGATGAACAATGGGAGGACAGGGACAGGAAAATATAAGAATATATATTTTAAATATATATATATTTAAGGGCTGGAGAGATAGCACAGTGGTAGGACTTTTGCCTTGAGTGCAGCCAGCCCAGCCGAGCCTGGTTCGATTCCTCCACCCCTCTTGGAGAGCCCGGCAAGCTACCAAGAGTATCTCTCCCACACGGCAAAGCCTGGCAAGCTACCCGTGACATATTCGATATGCCAAACACAGTAACAACAAGTCTCACGATGGAGACGTTACTGAGGGCCCGCTCAAGCAAATCGATGAACAACGGGAGGACAGTGACAGTGATATATTTAATTTTTTTAATATAAGAATAAAAAAATAGGGCTGGAGAGATAGCACAACGGGTAGGGTGTTTGCCTTGCACGTGGCCGACCCGGGTTCAATTCCCAGCGTCCCATATGGTCCCCTGAGCACCACCAGGAGTAACTTCTGAGTGCAGAGCCAGGAGTAACCCCTGTGCATTGCTGGGTGTGACCCAAAAAGCAAAATAAATAAATAAATAAATGAAAATAACAACAACAAAACCCCACCATCATCTGAGAGGTTTGAGCTGAAAGTGGTGAACTTAGGTCAAGTCGCTGAAGTCATGAAGATAACACTTGGGCAAAATAGCTGAAAGCATGCAAGTTGAATATTAGCATTTGTTTCACCTTCACCAGTTGGCTAAACTCTGCTACCCTTTGTGTGGCTTTTCTTTGGAGGCGGCCTTCAGCATCTTTTGGAAAATCTAGTTCATGCAGGCGCTTCTCTCCCTCCCAGTTCAAGTTCGGGGTGGGGGGTAGGGACGGGGATGGGGGTGGAGGGAGATGTGTGAAGGGGACACATGCTGGGTGTGGAGCTTGTCAGATGCGCTGGAGCCCAGTTGGAGAAAGGAAGGGGGTCAGTCACCATGGATGCGACTTTGCCCTGGCTATAAATCTGGGCAACCCCAGATGACCTCATTGTCATGCAAAAGTTCCCACCCGCTGGTTTGGCCGGCATCTTGGAAGCCCCGTCTGTCAATCCCAGGAACAACAATGTTACCCTTTAACAAATCTCAGAGTACTTCCTTCCCCATTCAGACAGCTGGGGTCCTGATGGGGTGACCTCCTGAGTGGGGAGAAGAGAGGGGCTGGAGGGCTCCCAGGGGCTCACAACCCCAAGCCCCCGCCACCCCCAGGCCTTCCCTTTCCACAACCAACCAGCATGGAGACCAGAAATCTCCCACCCGCATCCTTGCGTGGTACCCAGGCCTGGGAGAGAGTGAGCGGAGCAAACATCTCTCTTTGTCCTCATCAGCACAGTTCTTAGTTAAAGAAATAAGGATCTTTTTCTTTTCTTTTCTTTTTTTCTTTTCTTTCTCTCTTTCTCTCTCTTCCTTTCTTTTTCTTTTTCTTTCTTCCTTCCTTCCTTCCTTCCTTCCTTTCTTTCTTTCTTTCTTTCTTTCTTTCTTCTTTCTTTCACTTTTTAGGTCACACCCAGCAGTGACGTTCAGGGGGTGACTCCTGGCTCTGCACCCAGGAATTAGTCCTGGCAGTGCTTGGAGGACCCTATGGGATGCCGGGGGGTCAAACCCAGCTTCGTTGCATGTAAGGCAAATGCCCTCCTCACTGTACTATTGCTCCGGCCCAAGGATATTTCTTTTTTTAAAAAATACAAATTTCTGGATGGTGCCGAGCCTCCTTGTTAACTTAGGCCAGCTTGGTTTATTCCTGTCTCCAGCTCAGAGAACTGGCTTTGCAGTGAATGCCCCTTGACCCTCTCTCTCTCTATCTCAAGGGAAGCCAAGCACACCCACACCTCATGGGGGGGGGGGGGGGGGGGGGGTGTTGGGCATTTCCCCAACCTGCTGTAGGAGGCTCAAATCTTGGCAGCTGAGTGCTCCAAGCTGCCTGGGAAAGACCAGGCTTCCCACTTGCCTGGCAGAGCTCAGAGCTCAGACAGGCTGATCCTTACACATGGGTCTTTGGTGCACCCCTTGGTCGGTGAGAACCAGAGATACGCAGATGCCTGTTCTCAGCCCACCAGAACCCGAATGATTGCTGTTGGACCCAGGGAATGTGGACCTAAGTGGCCCCTTTCGCTGAGCCGGGCTTATACCGACTTCCTAGGTGCATTTTCTCATCTCCACCTTGCATGGGGAGAGACAGAATTGGGGTCTCGTCTGCCCAGGGGCCCACGGCTATGGGTGGAAGGCTTGGGGTTCTGCTTGGAGAGATGCACACCCATGCCAGGCTCCTGTCTTGTGCCAAACTTGGAACTTTGGCAACCGGACATTCTCCCATTGCCTCCCCTCCCCTCCTCCATCGGATTGAGTTGCACAACCAACACACATCCATTAGACGCCCCCTGCTGGCAGGGTGTGGGACCAGATGTAGCTTTTTTTTTTTTTAATTGAATCACTGTGAGAAAAATTAGAAAGCTTTCAGGGTTAAGTCTCGGTCATGCAATCATCAAACACATTTCCCTTCACCAATACTTATTTTTCACCACCAAGAACCCCAATAAACCCCCCTCCCAACCCTCCAATGACGGTGAGACAGATGAATTCTAATTAAACACTCTACTTTGATTAGATTCATTGTTTCGACAAAAGATGCACCATTATTATTTAGAGTTTACACCCCCAATCAGACCTGTTGAAAAGGCATTGTGAAATAATTTGTTTTCTACAGCTGTTACAAGAATCAAATGATGTCGCACGGCCACAATAGCGGCCGCGCGATTTTGGATTTCTGGTATTTTACTTATTAAGCCTGGAAGTATTTCTGCTGAGAGTCAGATAATTATGAGACTGGTTTCTGTGGCTCTGGAGCCATGGCCGTGCCGGAGAGCCGCTCGTGGAGGGCAACTCATGACCTCGGTATGGTGTGAAGGGACGAGCCAGGAACGCCCCCCTTCCCATGAGGTTCCAGTCGCCCCGTCATGACCAGCTCATACCTGGCTTTCCAAGAAGCTCTGAGGCGGCTGCCATCTTTCTTTCCCTTTTTTTTTTAAATGACAAATCAATGAACAACGGGATGACAAGTGATAAGTGATAATGACAAAAAGACAGGTGAGGTTCATTGGACTGGACCCCCTCAGCGCAACTCACTCGTCCTTTGGAGAGATTCTTTTTCTCCCTTCTTCTGGGTGGGATCCAGAAGCAGCAAGATGAGGGCTGGAAAGACACGATTAGATCCATCCATTGGCAAACATTTCAACCAGACACTTGCTGATTTTCTCGGCCGGATCTATCCACAGGGGAAAACCTCCCTTGCCCATCCAGAAAGGCCCTCCTGGCTGGGGCAAGGGTGGCACCCTCTGGTGGGGAAGGGAAGGCTGAGATTGGGTTGCTGACTGTGGCTCCCGGGTGAAGGGTTAAAGCCCAAGACCCAGGTGGAAACATCCTGGTCCCAGGGTGGAGTTTCTCTCTGCACCTTTGGGGCAGAATGTTGGCGATGGTCCCTCTTGGACTCGACTTTGCCGTCCATAAAACAAGGACCATCCCTCATGGTGGGGGGGGGGGGGGGGAGAACGTGAGATTAAATGGGAGAGCGCCTCTGCAACCAGCCAGCACCCCAGGGAACTCTGGCCCTCTGTCCCACTGGGCCCACACCTGCATCATCATGCTCTCTCAGAAGTTACCTAGCAACTGGCAGGCTCTGGGGAGGAAGCCCAGGTCTCAGGCAGAAACGGATGCTCAGAGGCACACTGGATTTTATTTGTGGGGCAGGGGGGGCAAGGCAGGAGGAGAGAGTCAGGCCACACCCAGCGGTGCTCAGGGCTGCCTACTGGCTCTTTACTCAGCGTTGACTCCTGGTTCTGTGCTCAGGGTTGACTCCTGACTCTGTGCTCAGGATCACTCCTGGCTCTGTGCTAGGGAATTACTCCAGGCTCTGTGCTTGGGGATCACTCCTGGCTCTGTGCTCGGGGTTCACTCCTGGCTCTGTGCTTGGGGATCACTCCTGGCTCTGTGCTCACAGCTGACTCCTGACTCTGCGCTCCGGTATCACTTCTGGCTCTGTGCTCAGGGCTCACTCCTGGCTGACTCCTGACTCTGTGCTCAGGGCTGATTCCTGGCTCTGTGCTCAGTGCTGATTCCTGACTCTGTGCTCAGGTATCACTTCTGGCTCTGTGCTCAGGGCTGACTCCTGACTCTGTGCTCAGGGCTGACTCCTGGCTCTGTGCTCAGGGCTGACTCCTGACTCTGTGCTCAGGGCTGACTCCTGGCTCTGTGCTCAGGGGCTGACTCCTGACTCTGTGCTCAGGGCTGACTCCTGGCTCTGTGCTCAGGGCTGACTCCTGACTCTGTGCTCGGGGATCACCCTCATCCTGGCTCAGGGAACCCAATGCAGAGTCAGGGATTGAACCGTGCACTACACAAGTGACTTCAGGCCCTGTCCTCTCCCTGAGCGTTCGCTGGTCCCCCGGCAGACTCAGAGTCTACAGGTGCATAAGGGTTAGGAGGTAAACCCCGCCCCCCAGCCCCGATTATCACGTCCAGACAGGCTGAGATGGGCATCCGTCGTCCAGAGCCAGTGTTTCCCCCGTCTCACCCCACGCTCTCTGCTCTCTTCAGTACGACTTCATGGAGCGTCTGGACGGCAAGGAGAAGTGGAGCGTGGTGGAGGCGCCCCGGGAACGCCGGAGCATCCAGACGCTGGTGCAGAACGAGGCGGTGTTCGTGCAGTACCTGGACGTGGGCCTGTGGCACCTGGCCTTCTACAACGATGGCAGGGACAAGGAGACCGTCTCCTTCAACACCGTCGTCCTAGGTAGGTTCTGGGGCGTGCACGTGGGGGCCCGAGGGGAGCCATCCCGGGCTCGCCTCTGTTGAAACGTCTGTTTCCACCCCCCACCCTCCCCCACCCCCACCTCTGCAAACAACCCCAGCCCCCTCCATCCCTGCGAACCCCAAAGAGTGAGAGGTGCTGAGTGGCCCAAGCGAGGCCCACATGTGTTTGTTTGCAAGGCCTTGCTCTCCTCCTGGGTCAGGGAGCTCTCACCTCTCGGCACCGGGTCATGGAATCAGGGAAGTCAAGTCACAGGGGCTGTGAACGTGCGTTAGAGATGGACCTTCAGAATTGCCCTTCGGCTGGCCAGTGGTTGGAAGCCTGCCGTGGAGTTGGGGGGTGAGGGGGCAGTTAGGAGAGAGAACATGGCATGACCATAACAGTGGGAAATGATCATTTGGGACAGGAACTGAGTGTTGGTAGTAGTAAAGGATAGACCTGATAGCCTTTCGGTATCTGTATTGCAAACTCTAAGGCCCAAAAGGAGGGAGGGAGGGAGAGAAAGAGAAAGAGGGAAGGAAGGAAGAAGGAAGGAAGGAGTGAGGGAGGGAGGGAGGGAGGGAGGGAGGGAGGGAGGAATGAAGAAAGGAGGAAGGAAGGAAGGGAGGGAGGGAGGGAGGGAGGAATGAAGAAAAGGAGGAAGGAAGGAAGGGAGGGAGGGAGGGAGGGAGGGAGGAAGGAAGGAAGGAAGGAAGGAAGGAAGGAAGGGAGGGAGGGAGGGAGGGAGGGAGGGAGGAGAGGGAAATAAGGAGGAAGAAAGGAAGGAGGAGAAGGAAGGGAAGAAAGGAGGGAGGGAGGAAGGGAGGGAGGAAGGCAGGAAGGAGGAAGAAGGAGAAGGAAGGAAGGAAAAAGAAGGAAGGAAGGGAGGAAGGAAGAAAGGAAGAAGGGAGGAAAGAGGGAGGGAGGAAGGAAAGAAGGAAGGAAGGAGGAAAGGAAATAAGGAGGAAGAAAGGAAGGAGGAGAAGGAAGAACGGAGGGAGGAAGGAAGCAAGGGAGGGAGGGAGGGAGAAGGAAAGGAAGGAAGAAGGAAGGAAGGAAGGAAGGAAGGAAGGAAGGAGAGAAAAAGTGCCGGCTGTGGCGGGCAGGAGGGTGGGGTGATGGGAGGGAAACTGGGGACATCGTAGTGGGAAATGTCCACCGGTGAAGGGACAGGGTTTGGAGCATTCTATGACTGAAACCCGATCATGAACAGCTTTGTAAATGTGCATATCACTGTGATTCAATAAAAACCGGGGGAGGGGATTGCCTTGGGGGCCAGAGTTGGGTGCAGCTGCAGGGCATTTGTTTGTAGGTTCAATCCCCCTATCTGTCACTGTCACTGTCCTCCCGTTGTTCATCGATTTTTGCTCAAGCGGGCCCAGTAACGTCTCCATTGTGACACTAAGTACTGTGTTTGGCAATCCCCAAAAATCTTAAAAAAAAAAAATCTAATCGGGCAAGGGCCAGAGAGATAGGGCAGTGGGTAGGGCCCTTGCCCCGACCTGGGTTTAATCCCCAGCATCCTGTATGGATCCTCCCAAGCACCACCAGGAATAATTGCTGAGCTTGGAGCCAGGAATAGCCATGGAATAACCCCTGGGCACAGTCAAGTATGGCCCAGAAACAAAACAAAACAAAAAAAATTAGGCCAGGTTTTTAGGGGACATTCTCTCTCTCCCCTCTCTCTTTCTCTCCTCTCCTCTCTCTCTCTCTCTCTCTGGCAGAGAACGGACCTTCCCACAGCCCTGACTCAGGCTTCCCACCCCTGTGCCCCCGCATTAGGGAGGAGCAATTTCCCCCTCCCCCTC